ATAACTCCAATTCTATGATTGAGGGTTGTATTTCCTGTCTAACTCAATTAGTGTATTTATCCTTTCTAACTCTTGCTGGCACCTGAGTAGAAATGTGATGACACCAAGCATACCTGGAGGAGCAGAATCATCTACCACTGCCAAGCAGGACTGCAACATGAAAAGTCCCAGCAGAGAGAAGATAACTACTAACTGTACTCCTCCACCCAAGAGATCCTGGGTGTAAAACCAGTTGTGTCATGGTTTAGAAAAAGCTGAGAAAAGCAAAGGAATTTTCTTTTCCTTGTAATTTTTTAATTTTTATCTGTATTCTCTTTTTCTTGTGAAGTTTGCCTTGGAAACAGCGGGTATAAATTAATCTCTCTTGTTCAAGTGTATTCCTGCTAAAAGGGCCCCACCTGTCTTTTAATGCTGCACCAAAAATTCTGCACTGACGCGTGCTGGAGATTTGCAGTGCTGAGTATCTCAAGCATAAAGCCAGCAGATACCACCTCACCCTCAAAACCAAGATAAGGTGAAAGGAACTGTCATGGTTTAACCCCAACTGGCAACTAAGCACCACACAGCCACTCACTTACACCCCTGGTGGGATAGGAGAGAGAATTGGAAGACTAAAAGTGAGAAACTTGCGGGTTAAGATAAAGGCAATTTAATAAGTAAAGCAAAAGCAGTATGTACAAGCAAAGCAAAACAAGGAATTCATTCCCCACTTCCCATCGCAGGCGGGTGTTCAACCTTCTCCAGGAAAGTAGGGCTCCATCACGCATAACAGTGACTTGGGAAGACAAAATGCCATCACTCTGAACATCCCCCCCTTCCTTCTTCTTCCCCTAGCTTTATATGCTGAGTATGACGTCATACAGTATGGGATATCCCTTGGGTCACTGGGGTCAGCTGTCCCGGCTGTGTCCCCTCCCAAGTCTTTGTGACCCCAGCCTCCTCGCTGGTGGGGTGGGGTGAGGAGCAGAAAAGGCCTTGATGCTGTGTAAGCCCTGCTCAGCAGCAACTAAAACATCCCTGTGTTAGCAACACTGTTTTCAGCACAAATCCAAAACACAGCCCCATACTAACTATTATGAAGAAAATTACTCCAGCCAAAACCAATACAGGAACATAGGTGGATTGGAAAATAGCTAGGGAAGGAGGTTTAGAAGGACATAAGGACTGAGAAACATGATTAGAGGGAAGCTCCCTGTCCTGGTTTGGCTAAAACAGGTCTATTTCTCCTTTCAGGAGTTTTTCTTTCGTTAAGATTCTTTTAAGTAACTGCACTTTCTGAAGTTGGCTACGTGTTTTTCAGACAACGTCTGCTTTCAGAATTGATAGTGCTTGATGTTTATAGTTGTTACTGAAGTATTGGTGGGATTGGTACGCAGAAAGGGAACGAATGTCACTGCTGGCTCTTTTATGTTAAACAAGTGAAAAGTCATAAAAGTGACACCTGTGGGAAAGAGCAGACGGGACAGGTGTCCAAGGACTGACCAACGATGTATTCCATCTTGTACATGTGGTTACTTGGTATAAAGCTCAGGGATCATGGGAGTCAGTCTCTCTTCTTTCATGGCTGGCATCCCTGTGGAACCCTGCTCACTCCCCTGCCTCCAGCCCCGATCCGTGCATTCCTGAATCCGGTTCCTGTCGGCTGCAGAGTCCAGTCCGGGACATCCCAGTGCCCGCCCTGCTGCAGCAGCAGTGCGAGCAGCCACAGCCTGCAATTCCCTGACCATCATCAGGAAACTCTGTATTGGTATATTTTACCTATTTCTATTATTAGTAGTAGTAGTAGTAATATTATTATACTCTTTTTTTTTTCATTGTTATTGTTTTATTAAAGTTGTTTTAACTTCCAGCCCCTAAGTCTCTCTCCCTTTTCTCCACTCCTTCGCCCTCCAGAGTGGGAACAGGGTTAATAGAGAGCTTCTGCCATCTGCTTTAAGTGCCAGCCCAGCCTTAAATGGTGACACTCCCTTATTCTCAATTTATCAGTCTCATAAGAACCTCTTACAGCAACAGTGCTAATAATGCCTATTTAAAACATGGAAGAAAATGCTAGGTAGGAGTTATACTGACAGCATCATCAGATGCTAACCAGAAGGTTAAATGAGCGCTGCAGGAGGAACCAGAGCACTTGTGCCTCAGCGAACGTGAGCTTTAGAGAGCACTGCCATGCCCAAAACCACCACGCACAGCTCGGCAGAGTGGGTATTTTACATCAGTGAATGGCAGTAATTTGACAGTCAGGCTACCACTGATTAGTGTCAGGTTTTTATTGCCTGACAGGCAAGCAAACCCCAGGCACAACAGTACTACTCTCCAGGTTCTGAGGAACGTCACCTATTTAGCGCTGGCATCCTGAACTCCTTCTAACATTGTCATGAGCCTACATCTGTCATCACTGTGTGTCGCAGAGGGGACCAAGCTGGCAAGTCTTTTGCCACTTCACATAGAAGACTCTGGGGTTTATTTGCACCTTCTCATTTTTAACCTCATTCAGGTTCCCAGACATTCATGTTTCTGCTTGCTTCCTTTATGAAACAGATAAAGTTTGGCAGTAACTGGCCACAGGCAGCCTTGCCAAGTCCCCAGAAGATTATCTCTTACATAGGATCATAGAATCATACAATCATTATGGTTGGAAGAGACCTTAAAGATCATCAAGTCCAACCTTCTACCCAACACCACCATGCCCACTAAACCCACTAAACCATGTCTCGAAGCGCCACATCTAAACGTTTTTTGAACACCTCCAGGGATAGTGAGTCCACCACCTTCCTGGGGAGCCTGTTCCAATGCCTAATGACTATTACAGTGAAGAAGTTCTTCCTAATATCCAACCTGAACCTCCCCTGGTGCAACTTGAGACCGTTTCCTCTCGTCCTATCGCTAGTTACTGGGGAGAAGAGACCAACCCCCACTCACTACAACCTCCTTTCAGGTAGTTGTAGAGGGCGATCAGGTCTCCCCTGAGCCTCCTTTTCTCCAGACTAAACAACCCCAGATCCCTCAGCCGCTCCTTGTAAGACCCTTTCTCCAGGTCCTTCACCAGTTTTGTCGCTCATCTCTGGACACGCTCCAGCAGCTCCATGTCCTTCTTGTAGTGAGGGGCCCAAAACTGAACACAGGATTCGAAGTGCGGCCTCACCAGCGTGGAGTACAAAGAGATGATCACTGACCTGGTCCTGCTGGCCACCCTGTTTCTGATACAGGCCAGGATGCTGTTGGCCTTCTTGGCCACCTGGGCACACTGCCGGCTCATGTTCAGCCAGCCGTCGACCAACACCCCCAGGTCTTTTTCCGCTG